ATATCCAGGAAGTATCTACACTTCTCTCATTTATCTATCTTTTACTTTTGTGTTGCTGTTTCTCCCACTGTCACTTGCCTGCATTGTCTCTTCTCTGTAATTGCTTTCTCAACTCATCCTGCTCATCATTTAACATTTGGATCCACTGAGATGGTGAATGCTGAAGTACTAGACACTCCAGGAGTGTGTGTGAGATGCATCGGTTGCACTGAACCCCATCCCACCAGAGACTTGAGGACAAACTCCTGCTTGTTCTTGACATGGGGAAATTTAAAAGACGATCCAGCTGGAGAGGCACAATGATTATGGGATTCACCGTAAGAAAATCTACTGCAATACTCCTCATCACTGGGCGCGTTTCCATTACCCTTCAAATTGCGACTTGAAAATACGCTTAATGGAAACGCGTCAATTTCGCAAAAACGGCCATATATCGCAAAAAAGTTTACGCTTGCACGAGGTGGTTTTTCAGGCAATGCGAAAGGATTAATTCGCAAAACTGCAACTGAAGTGGCTTTTTTGCATTTTACAGGTCACATGGCGTATGTAAAGAGTCATATGATCATTCTTTAATGTACTATAGCCTCCAAGAAACACTTCATAAGTGGCCGTGCTCCAGTATAAGGGGCTTTCCCTACTAGTAATGCTTAGACTACTTACACTGCACACGTCTGCGGTGCAGTGTGGCTCTGATACGGCCACTGAAGCCGATTACGGCCATTCAATGCTTGTGTTTGGTTTTTTTATACAGGCTATGGTTTATTACAGCCGCACCACGCACGTTTCTGAAGCGGCTCTCTTTGCTGCTTCTGTAAAGATACACGCATAAGCCTTCTTTGAATAAATAGTCAAAATCCCACCAAAATCCGTTGCCATGACTTATCGCGAGAGGCAAAAGGTTACGTTTTAGCCGCATAACATTGGTTAATGGAAACGCTGTCATTTTGCAATACTTTTTTTTTATCGTCATTTATAAAATATCGCCAAAGTTTTGCGCAAATCTGTAATGGAAACGCGCCTACTGTCATTATTGACAATGATTATATTGTTATTCTAATCTTCATCACTTCGGTCATCAACACTCGAATTCCTTCATGTTCCCTCCACTCTTCTTTATCATTTGATGCTTTTGTAGCCTCCACATTTTGACATTAGTGTAATTCCTTATGTAAAGGGAAAAAAAAGTCAAGCTTTGGTACTCTTGAATAGTTTAGTCATTCTATTAATTAATGAAACCAGTGACTGACACATACCTGGGCACCAGTGGTGGGCCGTCAGGGACAGCAAAGCCTTCTTTGCTGGCATAAACACTATCAGAATCACTTAGTTTTAAAATATTTTTCCATGAATGCGTATTAAATTATTTCCAATAGTCTATTCTCTTCAGTTCATAGCTTTTCTCTTGGTTGCACTGCTTCCAGCAGTGTATGTTTATATTAGAGCTTTTATCCAATCATATTTCAGCAATCGTGTTGCCAGGGTCAAAGAAATCTGCATCTGTTAGCTTAAATCAATGGCAATGAAACCGTTGCTTTAACCAATCAGATTTCGAGTTGGCAAAACACCAGGGTCATCTAGCTGGCTAACGATAACAACGTCAGCATTTTCTCGTCCTTTGAATGGATGCTCAGCATACTAGCTAGCAAACGGCATCACTGTAAATCCTTTTATTAAAACTTAGTAAAACTTATTACTTTTTCTCAGATTTAGATTTTCAGTGCATTTTGAAAAAATATTTGCCTACTATATTTAGTAAATCTAAAAACCGTAGTCTTAATGACTGTGAAAAACAACCACACGCCTCTGTGAAAGACTAGTGAAGATGGAAAAACCACTAGAGCATGGTAGGTTAATTTTCATTTGACTCAATGAAACCGTTGCTTTAACCAATCAGATTTCGAGTTGGCAAAACACCAGGGTCATCTAGCTGGCTAACGATAACAACGTCAGCATTTTCTCGTCCTTTGAATGGATGCTCAGCATACTAGCTAGCAAACAGCATCACTGTAAATCCTTTTATTAAAACTTAGTAAAACTTTTATTACCGTTTCTCAGGTTTAGATTTTCAGTGCATTTTGAAAAAATATTTGCCTACTATATTTAGTAAATCTAATTATACTGCATTACTGTGTAATATTTATGGTTTCTATAGCCATGGTATCATTCTGATGGTATGAAGAGATGGATTAATTCATGTAGGATGCCACTGAAGGCCTAGGTGTAAAATGCACGGCCCGCCACTGCTGGACACATGCAATGCAGCAGAAAAAAGTAGGGTCCAAACACTTCTGGAGGCAACAGTGATTGCTTATTTCTGATGTGACGAATATGAACTAGGCAACTACATAAACAGGCAGTTTCAAATTATATTTTCAAACCCACACCAGAGTGACCAAAAACACCAATGATTTAAATTTGCACCGATAAAAGTGGAATAAAATGAATTGGTGCTTAGGAAGATCTAAGGAGAGGTTTCTTAGGGTATTAAAGCAACTATATGTAGTTTGGTGTATTTTTGCAAATTTGAAGACCCCTATAGTTAAGTGTTGTAAATATGACGTAATTACAGTGGATAGCCATACAAGTGGGCTGCATCTGAAATCACATACTCTCTGACTGTGTACATATTTTGAACAAATAATTACAGTAAAAAGGTTTGTTCTATATAGTTGACTACGTATAGTATGAAAGTATAGGACATATTACATTTGTCATGTTGTCATTTTCATGCAACCTACCTGCATCAGATGTGTTGCTTTACTGCCATTCACAAATCCTCTTCCGTGGCCTCATGTGATAGAAAAGTGTCCACCAGATACACACTTCAGAATTTAGCCGGAAATAGTAGGTCATCCAGGGACTGTTTTATGAATAATGTGATTCCGGACATATTCTTTTCACATATTGTTTGCCACCTACTGTATAGTTGAAGTATGAGATTTTAGATGCAGCCGTACATACTCCCAGAACAGATGTTTTTGGGGAGCATGGGAGAGAAACCGAAGCATTACATAATACATAACTGAAATGCTGTTTTTATTGTTGATTCCGTGCAATTAAAAGTGTATTAAATGTTCATATAGGGTTATATAACGAATTCCCTTTTTTGTCCAAATAGGCAAGGAACTATAGAGTTTACACATTTTACACTACATTTTGCTGACACAAAGCCGAATAATATACAGTGCATAACGTATATTGTGAAGTACATGACAAATGTACACAATTTGTCAACAATATAACAAGTATAAAACAATTTTACATTGTTAGTTAACAATGTAATGTTAAAAGTTTGTCAGGTTTAAATCATGTTGTTGACACTGTGACGACGATCATGATTTGCACTTGCTGATAAAGTCGTTCAACTCAAAATACTTTCCAACTTAAAGGCACAATATGTACTTTTCGCCGCTAGAGGGCGCGTATTCAAAATAAACAAAGAGGCAAAGGCGTAGTTTGGCCCTGTCCCAAATGGAACACTTCATGTGCACTTGCGGTCTTACGGACATACAATGGCCGCTGCGTGCGCGTGTCCGTTAAGTCCACGAGACCGTAGAGTGTCCCAATCATCATTTTAGTGTTCAGAAGGGTGCTCGCAAGTACCCCCTTTACGGCCATTATGCACCCTCGATCCGCACTTCTGCCAAGCCCGCACCGCGAGCTCCGCAGCAGACTTTCTCCCGACAGTCAAAGCGGCATTACTTCACGAAAGTGCAGACTCGGAGGAAGACCGTGAGGGTTTAAGGTGCCATTCGGGACAGGGCCTTTGATGACGGTCCGTGTCACTAGTTAAAATTGCTTATTTCTCTGGATTTGAACATTCTTCGAAACATATGGGATAATGTGAGTACAGAAGTCAGCAAAATATATAACACTGTTCTAATGGTTTTTGGATATTTTAATAAAAAAATCTTACATATTGTGCCTTTAATGTTACCTGATAACATTACCCGAAAAAATAACGGTGATGTACTTACCTTAATCAACGGGGGGCACAATTGTAGTTTGAAGCCACAGTGCCGCTTTTGACACTTCTACATTTCTCTTCAGCTGCCGTAAATTGTTTCAAATCTGGCGCTCTGCGTCTGTTGCCAGAGCGCGGACGTCATTAGCGTCAGCATCTTGACATCACATCCGTAATTATAAACATAAATGTTTATTGAACTGCTATATTAAGGCAATGTCGCCATCTTGCTGATCTTTGTTACTTCTCAGAAACAAGTAGGTCTTGTTTTTTTGTTGTTTTTTTTAAAGACATTGGCATTTTATGTTGGCATATGCTGTGTATTTAGACTTGCTTTAGTCTTGCATCATTTCCTACAGTTTTATAAAGTGGTTGCAGAGCTGGACCGTCTGGAACCGCCACAGCTGAATATGAGGCCACTGTCCACTAGGTACAATACAAACAACAAAAGTGATGCAAGATGTTAAAGTAGTCTGTTCTGTGTAGTGTAGTAGTCTAGTACAGTGGTTCCCAACCCTGGTCCTGGAGGCACCGCAACACTGCTCATTTTGCATGTCTACTTTCTCTGACACCAATTTCAGGTCTTAGGGTATCTACTAATGAGCTGATGACCTGAATCAGGTGTGTTTGATTAAGGAGACATGCAAAACGTGCAGTGTTAGGGTGCCTCCAGGACCAGGGTTGGGAACCACTGGTCTAGTAGATGAAGGCCTGTTTTACACATTATGTTTCTGTGATGCATAAGTTGCACATGTTATTTTTGTGCCTGTATTAACACATTACAGCCCACATGAGCCACATGGTGCTGCGTTCCAGAAGCAGCACTGAGAGTACAGTATATGTTTTTTGCCCTGCATCATACACTGAAAATATGTTGAAAATGCACTTGATCCACATAATCTGTTTTGCAATACAGGCTTTTATGAAGCAACATACAATCATGGAATGAACTACTCCATTGTTTCAAATAAGCCATCTTTCAGGCTTGATACAAGTACCACACAGAGTAACAGACACAATTAAATTGAACTGAATGCAGAATATTAAGCCGTTTAGGGCCGTGATTTTGGGTTTGTTTCATGTCGATTACCATTTAGATGTAAATAATATTTAATCAAAATCAAGTCAGTAATAATTCTCAGTGGCTCACTTTCAATAACCATTTTATCATTTATGGTAGTAGTTGACTTAATCTTATTCAGTTATGCGGTGTGTTCACAGTGAGAGATTGCTGCTGTAGTTGGTCTGTGGTTTTACATTGACAATATGGGGGATGTAAGTGAACTTTGAGTGAAAAAAAGCAGTAGCAGACAGAACATCTTGTCCAACTTTGAAATGCTTGCTACCGGAGCTCTTCCCTGTGCTGTTCTTTGTTCAAGGTAACCTTTTTCCATCCATGCCCATCAGAGTGAAACACAAATTGTTGTCCAAGCCTTCAGCAAACTATTTCAGACTATATCCTTTATCTATTTGAAATGCATGCTGTATACTCTGTCTTAAAATGCTGCTACAGTAAGATGAGTTTATTTTTTCCTGTGTTTAGGTCAAGGAACCCTAAGGCCAATCAATGCAGACTCAGTTTTTTCTTCTTCTCTCTTTTACTTTTGTCAGTGACTAGCTAAAAGTTAGACTAAAAGTAGTAACACTACTAACCTACAATTTTAGCATGACAGTAGCTCAGCTTTAAGTAAGTAGTACGTAGTGGTGGAATATGATTAAGTGCTGCATCACTAATTAAGGGTCCAAGCACCGAAGGTGCCAGAACCCTATTGTTTTTGTACTGATTTTCTTCATCTTCTTTTTCTGCCCTAAAAGTGTATGGTCAGCCAAAACCGTAGGTCCAAAACACCAAATTTGGCAGAATGGTCCCAAATGGTCATATCTCCGCAACCATTCAGGTTACAATCAAAATATTTTTTTCCTCTGATTCTCTGAGTATAACTGAACAAAACATATATCTAGGATTTTTTTGCCATGCCTAAAATTATTCCACCATTTTTTATAAATCTTTTTTTTTTTTTTTTTACTCCTCCTAGACCATTTGCCCAATTAACGCTAAATTTTGTAAGTGTCATCTATAGGCCCTGATGACAAGATTAATTTGGATTAGAAGATGTGGATTAATAAGTGTATGGAGCAATGGCTACAAAATGAATGGTCTAATATCTTCTAAACCGTTTGACTATTTAAAATTGTTTTGATAACCTTTTGTCATTACTGTCTATAGATGATACATGCACAATTTTGTGTGAATCAGTCAAGTAGTTTAAGAGGACATCGAAAAAGAGGTTTTTGCCAACTCAGAATTTCCAACGGACTACAACACGTTATACTAATGTTATCCATTAGAGGGAACCACAGGATAAGACTTTTTTTTTTCTTATCAGTTAAATTTTTTTCCTATCAGTTTCCATCACTCTGAATAACAAATAAATCTGTTTTACTTGCTTCATGTCCGTAGATATATTTTTGACTTCCTTTACTTAATATTTAAATTTACCAACTGAAGGCTTTATATAGACAATACTCACAGAAGGTATCAGATAACATAGTGTAAGTAGTTTTTTTTGTTTCAGCAATTTCTCAGGGATCAACTGTTAATGTCAATGTGAATGACACATGAATGCTCATAAATTGAAATCAGTGTAAATGGTTCAAAATTATGATATTATCGTTTCAGTATAGTTTCGTATGTATGAATAAACTTTATCAGTTTGCAAAGGAATATGTGTTCTCCAAACACGTAAAGATCGTTAAATGTTACCTTAATTTTAATATATCAAAATGATAAAAACATTTGTCAAGCTGCATGACATGACTTTTGCTGTCCAGTTAAAATGAAAAGTTGCCTCTTTATTGCAGTAGCCTACATATTGCTGCCTTCAATTGTACTAATGCCAACAAGTTAACATGCCAACCTTCATGAATTTCTGATGCCGTGGGTGCTTACAGCAATTTATAAAATGTCAAGCCATTTATATCAATGGAAATGAGAGAAGAAGGCCATGATACTAATGTGTACACAAGACAACTATATTTTTAGATGGCATAGTTTAAAATCTGTGTAAATGGTAAAATATATTAACTATGCATTAAATTCATTATAGTTTCATGAAGTTTAATAAAGACTAAAGCAATCTAAGTCTAATCTGTGATCTCCAAAATACCTTCATATTTATATATCCTAAATTCAGAAAACATTTGTCAAGTTGTCAGGCATGACAGCATTGCGGTCCAGTTAAAACGAAGAGACAATAATATTTGTCTATTGTAGTATAATACATAAAATAATACTTCCGTAGAAAGACACTTGAATACTCGTATTACATTAGAAAAGATGCTTGGCCGTTGTTACATAACTGTATCCTCTACACAAGGCGTTTATTCTTGGACCCCGAAGATCGCCGCTTGCGGCTATATTTTTGTAATATTGTATTGCGCAAGATTATTGATCTCTCTCATATATGAGCCATATTGGGAAATCTAAGCTATTTTAGTAAATCAAAAATGTAAACGTCTTTTGATATTTTTGTGCATCACAATCTAATCTCTCATGGTTGATATGATCACAGGTGGGAGAAAAAGTAGTTAACTGATGCATTCTGGAACAAAATTTCATAACCATAATTTAATTATGAATTGTTTATTGATAAAGCATGCTCTAGATAAGACATCACATATATATTTTGTGGTAAGCAGCACTCCAAAACCACACATACTGAGGACACGTCTGCAATGGCATTTATCATGAAATGTTGCATTTACACAAAAAACAAACATACTCAGGAGCTTTTAGAAAAGTTCAACAGTCAACCAAAAAAACTGAACAAGTTTTATTTGACAAACAGCAAGAAAATAACCAGTCAACATTCTGTCAAGAACTCGTTTGGGATATTGGAGTTAGATCGTGAATCAAGTCTCCACACACCAATCAAACAGTTTATTAGTTTAACTCATTAGTGTACATTTAGCTGTAGCATATGTGCGTTTGGTTTTTCTGTAGTGTTTGGTGTCTGTAAGAAGATGATACTTCACATCTAAACGACGTTCCTCTTAATAAGGTAATTCAGTTCATTACAGTTAGACGTTCTCTGTTTTGCGAGTTTAGTATAGATAGACATGATTAAACTGGTGTGATGAGACGTTAAACCGCTTGCTTTATTCGCCATCTTTGAGTTGCTCACAAAAAATTTATATATATTTCAACAGCACATTATATATTGTTTGCTCTCTTTGAATACTTATGACTGATGATGATGATTAAAAAAAAAAGTAATTTTTGCTTAATCGCAGATAGTTCCTTCAGCAGTGGGCAGGACTAACTCACAAGCCGTAATCCCATTGGTTGAGATGTGATTAATAACCCGACACCTGTCAGAGATTAGTGTAACAAACAAGAAGTTGCACTAGCATGTGAGTACAGAGAAAAGTCATCTTTGAATGTGGTAAGTTTATGTTCTTGACATTTATAAAAACGCTTTATATTTGAGTTCTTTTTGGCATGTTTTTAATTTTGTATCTCATTATTGTTAGTCTGTTGACGTTGCAACTGGTGTTTTAATGTGTTGTCATAGTTATGAACAGGCTAGTTTGTTGCGCACCATGGTTTTACTAATAAAACAAAAGAAAAGGTTGTTGTTGTTAGATCGTGGTATGCATAAATTAAGAATGGTTTTGCTACACTAACCATAGTTTAACCATGGTATGTGACTTATATGAATGGTAATCAATTCACCAAAACCGTATGGTAGCACCCCCTGTCACCTGAAGCGGATTAATTTCAGTATGTGTCCCCACAAAGTATTTTGTGAAATGACAGATGTGAATTTAAGTAATTGTCTTTAGAGCATGTATATTTGTACATTATTTGAAATGTTTATTTTTGCATTAATCTACAACTCAACAAAATTGTTGACATTTTAAAGACTACTGCATTTAACCAGGTTTTTGATTTAAGTTTTATTAATTGAGGCTGGATCGGTTCACCACACATCAGTCTAACATTCATCTTGTATGTCTGTCTGTCTGTCTGAGACTTGTGGCTTCCTACAGGAAGAGCTTGTTGGTGAAATGTGAGCTGTTTCTTATTTCTGTCTGTAGGATATTTCTGGTTCAGAGCTGCGCAGGGGAGCAAGCGCTGAACCCTCATTCATCTTTGACCTGTTTATGGATGCAGTGAAGTGCACCGTTTTCTGTCGTAATGCACCTTCTCTTGGACCCATCTGGTTATACCAGCTTGGACCCATTCTGTGGGTAAATGCTTTGATGGGCCATTTGTTTAAACAAATGCCTTCCATTTAGAGAATGATCAATGCAGTTTGTGTGTGTGTGTGTGTGTATATGTATGTGTATATATATAATATATATAAAGGTGTGTGTGCACAATAAAAGGATAAATGTGCCATTTGTGTGCCGTTTATGATTTTCAGATAGTTCCAGATTTCTCAGTTCTCCAAATATTTGCTATTACTTTTAATCAATTGAATCTTTTGAATGAGATTTGGGTGCATCTGACAAATTGAGATTTGTCTTTGGATAAGCTATGAGTTGTAATTTCAAGTTAAAACAATCCATTTTAGCTCTCCTTAACAGAACCTCATGTCTTAAAATAAGTTACAGTTTATCAGCAACGTTTATGTCTGAATGCCTTTCGTGTAATACAGTTATAGTCTGAATCATTCAGCCGTCAGTGATTCTGGCTCGGATCAAAGAGTCTCAAGCTGATGTTCATCTCTGTGTGAGAACATCTAATACAATAATCTTCTCTACAAATGGGCCAAACAGACCCTTCTCCATTTGCAGGTCTCAGTTGGTACTGCTGTGGGACTGGAGAAAGACAAGTCCTGGATATGATCCTGGTGGAGCATTTAGCAAGTAAAAATTTGCTGCTTTGTGGGTGGAGTGGCTATTAATAATTAAAAAACTTTTGTTGACTTAGTCTGTTTCTGGATAAATTTTAGAAGTCGAACATCAAAACTTAAATGCCTGCTGCATAACCGCTGCTGGATATTGTCTCAGAAGTCCCAGGGGGAGCATCTGGATCTTCACTCCCCCTTTGTGTCTAGCCTTCTCTCATCTCAGGATGTGCTCTGATCCGCTTTGCAGCTTGTCACAGCTCACAACCAGATGACTGTCACGCAACCGTGCTTCAGTGACCAGGCTGGGGCTCAAACCCAGGATCTTTCCCTTTCAGGGAGAATGCACTCAGACCACTGAACAACTGGCACTTCCACACTCACTCTTCTTTTTTTGGGATATTTGTCTTTTTTAATCATTTAAAGACTAGTGAAACTACACTTTTTTTTTGCCCTCCATTTGAACTTGGATCTCACGTGCCAAGAACTGATGCTCACACCACTGGCTCTTCCATGTGTAGCTTACTTTTATTTTGGAGTTTTGTCTTTTTTATTTATTGAAAGACCAAAGAAGATAAACTATTTTCCCACCTCTATAGAGAATTCGAACCTGGATCTCACATGTCAAGAACTGATGCTCAAACCACTAAGCCACTTGCCTGTCCGCATAGACCTCCTTTTTTGGGAATGTTGTCTTTTTCATTCAGTCAGAAAACAGTCAAACTAAACTATTTTTTCACTGCAAGAGTTCAGACAACTGAGCCACTGGCTCTTTCATTTGTGTTGTTTCTTTTTGGAATCTTGTCTTATTCAGTCAAAAACCAGTTGAACTAAACAATTTTTCCACTTAAAGAGAGATTTGAACTAGGATCTCCCACATCAAGAGCTGATGTTCAGAACACTGAACCACTGCCTCTTCATTTATGTGCTTACTTTTTTGGAGTTTTATCTTTTTTATTTATACAGAGACCAGTCAAATTAAACAGTTGTTCCAGCTCAGTAAAGGGATTTGAACCTGGCTCTCCCACATCAAGGGCTGATGTTCACGCCACTGAGCCACTGGCTCTTCTGAATAACACACTCAGCCAGAAACCAGTCAAAATAAAAACATTTTCGCAGCAAGAATGGGATTGTCCACATTGAAGTTTGAAACATTCAGATTCCTTTTTTTATTTATTCATACCAGTGAAATTAAACAATTTTTCCAATAGAGGGAATTTAACCTGGATTTCCCACATCAAGAGCTGACTTTCACAGAACTAAGCTACTGGTTTTTCTGTGTGTAATTCTCTTTTTTGGGAATTTTGTCTTTTTATTCAGTCAGAAACCAGTCAAAGTAAAAAATGTTCACTGCAAGAAAGAGATTCAAACCAGGATTGCCCACATCAAACGTTGATATTCAGAGCATTAAGCCACTGGCACTTTCACTTCTTTTTCTGGAGTTTTGTCTTTTTTCTTTAAAGACTATTGAAACTAAACTTTTTCCACCTCAACAGAGGATTTGAACCTGGAACTCTCATGTCAATGACTGACACTCAGACCACTGGCTCATGCACAGTTGTATTTTTTTCTGTTTTGGAGTATTGTCTGTCTTATTCAGTCAGAAGCCAGTGGAACGAAACAGTTTTTCCACTTAAACAGAGATTTGAAATAGGAGCTCTCTCATCACAAACTGATGTGCGGACCACTGAGCCATTGGCTCTTCTGCATACTTGTTGCTCTTTAGAGTATTTTCTGTCTCATCCTGTTAGAAACCAGTGGCACTAAACAGTTTTTCCATTTAAAGAAAGATTTGAACTAGGATCTCCCACATCAACAATTAATGTTCAGACCACTGAGCCAATGGCTCTTCACGTGTGTGCTGCTTTTTTTTCTTTTTTTCTTTTTTTTTGGAGTTGTTGGTCTTATTCAATCAAAAACCAATAAAAAGCTAATTTTAAACTCAAGAGTGATATTTGAACCAGGACTACCTGTGCCAAAAACAGACATTTAAACCACTGAACCACTGACACTTCAACAACTACTCTCTGTTTTTTGAGTTTTGTTTGTTTTATTTGTGCAAAAACATTGCAGCAATGTCTCAGTGAGGTTTGAACTTGGATATTCCACATGAAAAAATTACACTCAGATCACTGAGCTACTGGTTTTTCAGTGACTAGTTGTGTTTTTCTTCAAAATACAATAATCCTCCACAATCCTGTAAATTTCTCCACAATACCTTGAAAACACAGCAAACAACCACCCACAGCTGCATGTGACTGCGACTGAACTTCTCACAAGTCTCATGTGATCTTGGTCAATCAACTAGTTAGTCCCTGTAACTACCAAACATCCTCCTGACTGAAGTTCTTGTCTGCTTTGAGACTCATGATGTTTGCTTAATTTTGTTGGTCCATTGTGTTTTTTTTGAAAACCAACGTCACTGCACCCATTAACCAAGAAATTTTGGAGCACTTCATGCTTCCTTCCGCTGACCAGCTTTTTGAAGATGCTGATTTTATTTTCCAGCAGGATTTGGCACCTGCCCACACTGCCAAAAGCACCAAAAGTTGGTTAAATGACCATGGTGTTGGTGAGCTTGACTGGCCAGCAAACTCACCAGACCTGAACCCCATAGAGAATCTATGGGGTATTGTCAAGAGGAAAATGAGAAACAAGAGACCAAAAAATGCAGATGAGCTGAAGGCCACTGTCAAAGAAACCTGGGCTTCCATACCACCTCAGCAGTGCCACAAACTGATCACCTCCATGCCACGCCGAAATGAGGCAGTAATTAAAGCAAAAGGAGCCCCTACCATGTATTGAGTACATATACAGTAAATGAACATACTTTCCAGAAGGCCAACAATTCACTAAAAATGTTTTTCTTATTTGTCTTATGAAGTATTTTAATTTGTTGAGATTTTTGTTAAATGTGAGCCAAAATCATCACAATTAAAAGAACCAAAGACTTAAACTACTTCAGTCTGTGTGCATTGAATTTATTTAATACACGAGTTTCTCAATTTGAGTTGAATTACTGAAATAAATGAACTTTTCCATGACATTCTAATTTATTGAGATGCACCTGTATATCAGGAGATCATATGGATATGAAAACAGCAAACAAATGTCTATTTCTTTCAGACACCATTTATGATCATGTTACTTTTACTAAAAGAACAGCTTAGGACATAGGGCATCAGTCCTCAGAGATAAAATAATTATAAGATTGTGTTTAATAATTTAATATGAAGCATATTGTCACGAATCCGGTCCATGAACTTCCAATTTCATTGACTCTCGCACTACACACTGTTGCACATCACCCCGGACTACATTTCCCATCATGCATTGCACTGATTGAGGATTGCACACAGCTGTTTACACTGATTGCACCCAGCTGTTTCATATCACTCCCTCACTATTTAACACTCACTCTGATCCCTTCCCTTGGCCGAGTATTGTTCAGCGATTATCACTCCCCTAGCGATAGCGTTACTACAGAGCCCTCATTTGTTTCCCTGCCTTAGCCTTGTCTGTTTTCTCCGGTTTTATCTTCGCCTGTTTTCCTGGATTCCTCCCTTTAGCCTTGCCCCTGTGACTCTGTCTGCAGTTCATCGACCCACGCTAGCCCTAGGATTATTCTTGTGTTTTGCCCGCCATATACCTGTCTGCCTCTGCTTGACCCTGCCTGCTTTATGACCACGTCTGTGTCTTCTCCAATTAAAGCTTTGCATTTGGATCCGAACGTCTCGCGTCTTGTCAGCCTCGTTACACATATAAGGAAAATCTTTCAGTAAACAATGAAGCCCATGACATGTTTTCATGAAAATATACAAACACGCTCTCAAACATCATTTGGCAAAATACATCTGAAGTAATATATTGCGTGTGATATATTTCTGAAGGAAACGAACAATTCATTGAGAAAAAAAAAGCTCAGAATAAATCCAGCTTGTACATTTTAATTCATGTCAACTGTTACGACAGTAGATAGAAGAACATGAGCAGATTCTCAAAGACTATTATCTTTAATGTAAACTGCACAGACAGAATAAAAAAGAAAAACAAGGTTTGTTCACACTATGAAATGTATTGGTCACCTAATCATCTGTTTGTCATTAACTAAAACAAACAGTTCAGGTAAAAATAATCATAAATTCTGTCGAACGGCACTGATTCACATTCCTTAATTATTTAAAGCATCCATTTTAAAGTATACTATTTGGTAATCTTATCAAAGATAAGTCACACTGAAACAGAAAAGTGAGATATCACAGATATTTAGGCTCTGGTGTGAAGTTTCACTACATACTGACGAGTAACATCAACTTCTAGACTTGAGAACTCTGGAGGCTTTTCAGTCTGTTTGATAGTTTGAGTTTAAGAGCTCAAATGCTAAACAGAAAATGTTCCTACTGAGCATCCAAACCTCTTATTCGCTCTCCTCCTTTAAGCACAGGTCAGAGGTCAAAGGCTGCTTC